TGCGTAGCTACCTTTACAATCGTTCAATGTGTAAGCTTGCACAGCGGACCCGAGGTACAAAGGAACTCAAACGGTATTGCATCAGGATATAGGTTTACAGAATTACCGCCGAATCGATTATATGGCCGGGGTCGGATCGGAAAGCCCAGTGACGCACAAAAGTGGACCGTGAATGTGACACTCGTGTATACTGAGTGGTCGCAACACGAAGGGAGGAGCCGGTTGAATGGGTACGGATGTTATCACGGTTCTGAATCTAGTGGTTTTGCTCAGATCGACCCAACAACTGATTGACCGGTAAGGGAACGAATCAGCTGACTAAACCCTACTATAAACATCGGTTATAAAACCAAGAAATTTAGTGATATACGTAAACTGATTAGATAAGGTAGTTACGAACCGCACGAAATGCGACAAATGAAAGAGCGCTACTGATCATATGACCGTGCAACGAAATTCGCATTGTGTGTCTAGAGTATCTGATCTATGACGCAGTGGACTGCGATGCATTCGAGTAAAAAGGTGACATCAGTCTTCCTTAACCTTAATGTACTATTCTTGGTGCCTTTTGCTCACACCCTGCTATGACAATCTCACAGTTGTCGTAACAGAGGCATGGTCGCACAACCAGTTAGCAGCTACAAGAAAAAAATGATTCACCTGCATAGACGGTTGCAGTTCAGCACAAACTCTAGTGCGAGCACTTGTAGTACCTGTCTCCAAAAACCAAACAATTAACATCACGCGACGTTTATCCACGTGCACCCGATTATGCGATCCATCTGCCATTTTGCAAAGCAACCCTTCGTTTTCAAACCAGGACGCTAGTGCCTACATATTTCACACCGTCACCATGGCATGCGTTTCCGCAACCAAGTAAGCATCAACTACGCATATCAGCACGTGGTTTACCATAATTGATGTCTGCACAACCACTGTCGCGAATGGTCATTATCGCCCAAGGTCGTTTGACAACGCCAAAACGGAAACAAGCGCACAAAACTGCCTCCCGCGTCACAACTTAGCGAACGCCAATGTGTATGATGTAATTGGGACCTGTGTACATCAGCCTAAGCGTTACGTGTGTCACACCATAGCCTCGTTGGGTTTGCAAGCTTGACCTCGTGAATTCGACCACACCTGTGTCAGCGTTATCCATGCGGCTTAATTCTGTCACCGATATGGGATCCCACAATGAAGTGGCGCGATGGTTTGTGTGCCTCCGCGACCAAATGAGTCACGCTGGATGGGGCTTCACAAGAATCGGCACATCCACTCGTAACAGATAGGTCGCTGTGGGAGACAGATTGTACTCCTGGTCAGCGCTATGACTACGAATGAACTACTGGGATATTACGCCCTGAGGGCAGTTAAAATATTCCAGAGATTGTAGAAAGTAAAAGTCACGATTAAAATTCACGCACAATAATATGCCTCGACGGGGAGTCGAACCCCGGTCCACGAATTTCCGGTCCGCTGCTCTACCACCTGAGCTACCGAGGGCTGACGATTAGGTGCGCAACCTTATTCCAGAGATGTCTGCCGTTACCCATGTGAGCAGGCACTACATCAAATGTGAAATGGAGCAGGGATTAGTGGTAGTATGCATTTCGGGTCCGTACGCAGTTGTAGGGGGCAGTACTTAAACTGACTGGCGGCGTGCATAATGCGGACAGTTTCGGTCCCTATTCAAGGTCGATCGCCACGCTACTCCGTACGGAGCAATTCAATAAGTACACCGCCGCATATATAGCATGAGAGTAAATCTATAGAATAGCCGCTGGAATTTACTGACGGATAATCAGATCGCGGAATGTTCCGACTGTCTTTATTGTCACAGCCAGATTCAAATTGAACTTTTGAAGGGCACCCTACTTTAGGCTTACACATTAACATAGGTCTCAGGAGCATAGCTGTCCACTACTGTTTAACTCCATCAGTCCATCCGATGCAATCAAACCTATTCGGAGCGAACCACTCATCGCATCGTCTAAAGAAATCAAATCCACCATCATTAAGGCCACCCATATATATATATATATATATATATATATATATATATATATATGCTTGGTGGGCGGCATCCGGTTTCGGAGTTGCCTGTCACTGTGGCCAACCACAGGACGCCTGCGCCTACAGAGGGACCATGGATGGCTTGCGCTGCACCACCCACAAATCCAACCACACACCCCATATCCAATGTAAACCCGAAGGAATAAGACCGGGAGGCATGTGGATGGAAGCCACGTTTCATCAACGGAGCCGGCCCACACTCCTTCACAGGCAAACACAAGCACGCTGTATTTGGGAATCAAGCGCACACAAGGCGGTGGCTGGACCGTAGTCCGCTCCACACTGAGTGCATGGAACCACTCTTCGAGCCTAACACGGCCACAAGGACCGTGCACCCCGTCCCCTCCAGCAACGACCAAGTGTCTCCTGGAGCCAGTATGGACGAGGTAGTGGGTAATAGACAGGTAGGCACCTTGTCAACATGCACATCAAGCGCAGCCACACCTGGGATATCAAGCAACAGCCAATCACCTGGAACGACACGATGAAATAAAACGAATACAATAACGCATACAGATACGGTGGCATAACTCTAAGCTAAATAAGGATATGAAGTAAGTTGGTTAGCAACAAATCCGAGATAAGGAAAAAATGTCCACAAGTTAGTTAAAAATGCTACAAAACGCAACAGAGTTACCGAAGATAAGCGCAATTAATGTAAGCAACGTGGTCAGTTAATAGAAGAGTATTCAGGTAGGCAGAACAAACCAAATAAAGTGGAATGAAATTTAGCCAGCTTAAAAAGACCTAGTTTAAGTGTAAGTTGGTTTAGCCCAACTGCGGTGAAGAAGCATCAAGAATGCAGCATCAGCCTCACAAGCTGTGCACATATATTGTGCCATCGGGAATATGGCGGAATAAGAAAACAGACAGAGTAAAAGAAGAAAGAAAACAATTTTTTGTCCATTTTCCCACTCAGCTTTTAAGCTTTTTGGTGTATTTTATTGGGGGAGAGAAGAGGAATCACCGCAACAAGCAGAGAAACGTCCGCCATTGAGTTCGATTTCGAGCCATGACTTCCAAGATTTCCAAGTAACTACACAAAGCATCCTTGGACCCCATCCAAGGACTCGGGAGGTATCAACTGAGGCCAGCTGTTTTATCAGCTTTTTTATCCTGCTTCTCCACGTTGTAGGCTGTCCACCACACCGCCTCCTCCAATCCTGTCCAGCAACCGCGAACAAGACAGGACGCAGAAGACGCTGAGCGGGCATACGCAGTATGTGTCTAAGAGATCGTAGTTGACGCAGCGAGACAACCACCTCGAGGGAGTGGCTGCTTCCACTCAAGACATTCTGTCTGACCTCAACATTGGTTACATGGTGCAACCACCACACATGGCAATGGACCGCAAGAAACGGTTCTCGAAGACAGACAGTCGACGTAGGTCATCGATACGAGCAGGCCAAGTCTCGCGACCGTACAACAGTACAGCACGGACCACCACAATATAAACCCGTCCTTTGATAGGCAGACGCATGTCATGGCCGCGCCATAAATGCCTCAGCCTGGATAAGGCGAGACGAGCTCTTGGGATGCGCATCGAAATCTCATTTCAAACAGTGCCAGCAGCAGTGATGCAGGTTTCCAGGTAGGCGAGTCTCTGTACAAATTCCAGCGTCGCACCATCGATGGTGAGTGCAGGTAGGGGCGTATGCCAGTCTGGAAAAACCGCTTTACACTTGGATGGTGAAGAGTGCGTGCCATACTTCGCCGCTTCCATCGCCAGGCGGTTAAGTGCAAGTCGTACGGCTTGCGGACCTTCATCCAACAAGACGATATCATCAGCGTAATCCAATTCAACCAGTCGACTACCGGGGAAGTGCTCAACACCAGCGTCCAACCAGTCTTCTACTGCATTTTTGAAGACATCCTTAACACGTAGTAACGAATTCAAGCAAAGCACGCTCCAGACCGCAGTTAGACAAGACAGTACTAAACAAAACGTATCGGGCGAACCAGTGCGACATGGCTCACAGGACACAAGAGTTAAATCTTGAGTGAGGAATTATTGATTGGTCACTGCGGGGAAAACCAATAAGAACGCGGTGGGGCTGAAGTAACTAATCAATATCATGGCCGGGTGTAACATCTCCTCCTCGTTTGGAGAAAGTCATACACCAGAAAAGAAAGGTTCAACAGGTTTAGGTTCGCGTTGATATCTGCGAAGTGGTGGGCAGTTTGTTGTTCGCACCGTATCCTGAGTGGTTTGTTCCACCGTCTGCTGGACTGAGTCAGATATATTTTCCTCATTTTCTCTTGTTTCTACACAACGCGGACGTATGTGATCGGAATGCCACCTCAAGACGCGACCTTTTAATTCTAGGTCGGCCTAGGTACCATCACTTGTGACCACAGTTGCGGGCTGCCATGACTGTTCATGCGGAAGTCGTGCGTACACACAAATCCGGTTGGAAAACAACATCGTGATCCCTGTTCAAGGTAGCTCTTTTTTGTTTCCCTTCTGTTTGCGCTCGACAATTAGGAACTAATAGGCATACTATAGTAAAAAATATTCTACCGAACATAAGTTCTGCAGGGAGTTACCAGTGGTTTCTGTCAGCTGTTCTGTAAGCAAAATGTCATCGGTCTAATCGCGTTTCCATGGTTCCCGATAATTGCCTTACCAGGCCTCTTTGTACCGTCTGCACTGTGTGATGGGGGCTTAAAATGCTGGTGATTGCAAATACTCTAATGCAGATCGAACGGCACAGGCTCTTCCCCTCTCGTTCTCCTCTATGTTGCGGAAAAGCAGTTAGGGTAGGCCATCCCGAAATCCTAGAGGTTCCTATGGGATTGCGTGCGCACGTTTACGACGACTCTGAGAACGGCCTCATGCCTACACACACACGAAGCGGCGTGCATACTTGGCGAAATACAACAGAGATGCTAGACCATGAGCGAACTGGCGCGCAGAATACTCGTGCATGCCCGTCTTGCAGTCGAAGCCTGCTCGTAGAAAACATTGTCCCCCCCTCGATATAGCTGAAACGAACAAGGGGGGGGGGGGGTGGGGAAGGAGGAGGGGGGGGGGTTGGGGGGGGGGGGGGGAGGGTCGGGGGGGGGAACGGGATCGGTTACCCATGGTGGGGAGTGGGTTTCTCTGGGTCGTTGTGATGGGGGAGTTCTGGTGTTCTTTCTTGGTGCGAAGAGTATGTCCTATTATTGATCAGGTAAGTGCCACCCCACCTGCAGAAGGCCTAGACCGTGTTGTGGGGGCGACGGCCGGCACACGGTGATCAGCTGTGTGGGCGGAATCTAAGCAAAGTGTGACAGCCCTCGCGGATGTTTCTTTAGACCCGGCGTGCACTCTGAGTGTTACTGTTCTAATCACGTATTGGTAGGGTGAGAACAGGACGTAATCTGACCAAACTCGACATGCCCTAACTCCAATCGTACACTGCCACTAAATGAGTCATACTAAATATTTCTCGTTGATTTTATACCAGACAAGAATGAACGTGGTAGCAAGCATAATAATCCAGATGCGTAAATGAGCGCCTCGTAGCACGCATGCTTAAATAACTGCGGCAGACTGAGCCTACGAGAGCCATAGAGCCATCTAGAGTCCTGGTTATATCGATGATAAGTAGTGTCCATACAATCTCTAATTAACATTTTCGAACACGCTGTAGGCGCCCGCCCCCCGTGAGGCTTGATTTATGCAGACCGTGGGTAATGTGGCTATACCTAGTGTCGGCTCCTTGGTGATAAGCCTGAACATATAATTTTTTTTTGTGTATTTTCCCAGGCATAACTAGCTAGTCAACCGACTAGGATCTGCCTACGCTTACACTATGAGTTACTACGCTTCCACAACGCAACATGGTGTAACTACTTGGGTCTGAGATCTACGGCTACTTGTAGCAGCATAAGTGACGCACGTGTAGTGGGGGATGCGCTTCCCCTAGCCATGCGCAGTTTGTGGGCCAACGTACATGTCGTAATGCCCTATAGTAACGGACACATGTATAGACAGGACGTAAGTAGACGTCATAAGTAGCTCCCCGTCGGGGGTGGGGGGGATGAGTCTTAGGGCGAATCACTTACAGCTAACTGAGTTTGCCTACGTAAAGTGCGACGTTGGGCCTACATAAGGGCTGACACGGTGACAGGACCATGACCAGCCGCGCTGATGGTTGTGCCACGGTATTGCTACCTCGTTATAAGCATCTTGAGCGATCACCAGACGTCGAGAGCCCTAAGGCAAGAGTAACGCGTCAGGTCAGAGTGTCATCACGATAAGCGACATATTGATGTCAAAGTTGGACGCCACGATTCACAAAACCATTAATAACACCCTCCACCGTTACATTTTTGGTTGAGCCCCCACCCGGCAACCCCCCGCCAACCCCTAACTACCACAGCGAATATATGAGAATTCGGGTCTCACTACGCGGACTACTCGCATACCGAACGGCCGCAAAATCCGAGACAACTAACACTGTAAGTACTAAAGTCATCCAGGCGTGCTTGTCCGTACTGATTCTATAGTTGCGTGGCTAGCTGTAGAAATTTCATCTTTATATTCCTTTTTTTACAGGTTTTTTCTGTTTTCTTTTTTGAAGAGTTCATAAGTTTTTGGGACAGTTTTTGGAGTTGGGTCTATCAAACCCCGCCCCGTTTTTCTTATGCGGTTGCATTTTCGCGTTGCGGGTGTGTGGTTCCCTTCCTACTCCTTTTTCAGTTGGTTTATTATTGTTTCTTCCCCTCTTTTTGGTCCTTTTTTTGTTTTCTTAAATGTCTTTTGGTGGTGGTTTACGTCGAAGATGATTCTCTTCTTCTGGGGTGTCTCTGCCCCCCCTCCCCTTGCATTGGGCGTGTTTTCTTTCTAGTGGGTGCGATTTTTCGACTCCTTTTGTTTTCCTGGGGGTTCCTATCGCGGCTCGGTCCCTTTGGTACTAGACTGTGTGGAAAGTGATGATTGTCCTTCATGACGGTGGGAGTTGGTTTTTTTGTTAAGGTGCTGTCCTTCCCTGTGCTTTTCCTGAGATTCTTTCCCTGTTCCTTCTTTGTTTTCTTCTGCTCTGCTGCCTCGCAATTCGTTCTGTGCGGATGTGGGGGGTGAAAAGACTTGACGCACGGGCTGAAGATTGCCTTTTTCTTTTTTGAATTTGGGATAAATTTTTTGGATTCATGTCCGTGTTTAGTGTGCTCCCAAGACATATTATCCTGTCCTTGTTTCTGCGTGATACTGCATCCTAAAATCCTTATATTTGTTGTGTGTGGTCATGTCGCCTTAGTGCCTGTGTGTGCATTCGGTCCTGATAATACACACTGCGGGAGATGCCGACGTAAGGGTGTGTGGAAACGGGAGAGTAAAGTGCGTTTTACTGCAGGGGCGGATGTGTGGGATGGGTTTTCCTGTGGTGATGTTTCTTCCTTAGTGAGTAGATGGGACT